TTTGTATCCCCATGTTACTTGTGACTGGGGTCTTGTCCAAGTGTTTCCAATTCTTGTCCTCTATGCAAAGAATTGGATAATAAGGGATAGAATTACTTGGATTTTCAAAGAAGCAAGATAGCTTTATTCAGAGTGAAGCAAGAGATAGATTATAGATGGATATACTGTCAAGAGTGACAGCAGGCCACTTGAGGAGAGTACTCAAGCCCCATTACTGTTTGGGGCTTCAAGAGGAGGGGCTGGTTACTAAGGGAGATAATTCGGGTGGTTCTTTATTTTGATTGACAGATTAGGTCATATATTCATTTTCCCATTATGCATGTCAGTGGGAATGCATAATGCTTATGCCTCTTCCTATAATACATCTTATTTTAATGTTATATACACCCAATTTACATAGGCATAAGATGGTAAATAGGGGCTGCTCCCTAAAAGGTTATTAGAGGACACATTCCTGCTTTACTGAGCATGTAACCCAAACCAGTTCAGGCTGGATCATCCCTCTGTTCTTCATACATTGGGAATGCACTTGAATAGAAACTGTCTAAATTTGATTGTTGCCAGGAATGGAGAAAGCCATACTGTTGTTCAGGGCTGTGAGTATCTATATCCTAATTCAGGGGGAGGGGCTTCTAAGGTTGCTAGGAGTGTTATTTGGGGAGGGGTCTGTGTATATAGTATATTCAAGTGAACTAGTTTGCTAAGTGTGTTATTACAAGTGTGTGTGTGTGTGTGTGTGTGTGTGTGTGTGTGTGTGTGTGTGTGCAAAACCCCAAACCAAATGGGACCCCAAGCTAAACTCTGCCCTATGCTTGCTTTTGTCACCAGAATCCACTAAAATGCTGGAGGAAAATCACAAAGATGCTCACAAGTCTGGAATCCCGGTGTAGGTGTGGGAAGATGGCTAGCAGAGACAGGAGACTCTAGAAGCACGCATGATAGCTGGCATGGTGTGTGCATAGTCGTGAGAGGCCCTTTCTCAAACAAGGGCCACTGAAGAATGTCACCCAAGGTAGTGACCTCAACCTGTGATCTATGATGCATGTGTGCTAAAATACACACACACACCAAATACAAACACACGTGCTTGTGCTCTGTGATACATGTGTGCTAAAATAAACATATATGCACAATTATATACAAACACAATACAGTAAACACACAAGGAAATACATAATTTGGAAAAGGCCACATTGAAAACCAACATTCTAAGGTGTCATGGAATAATCTTTTTGTACACTGTAAAGATGTGTTGCTCTAATTTTTAATAAAGACCTGACTGGTCAATAGCTAGGCAGGAAGAGATTAGGCAGGACAGCCAAACGAAGAGGATGCTGGGAAGAAGGGTGGAGTCATGCGGGGTCACCAGCAGACATAGAGGAAGCAGGAGATGAACCTGCCATAGCGGAAGGAGTTACCGACACATGGTAGAGAGTAGATAAGAAATATGGGTTAATTTAAGTTATAAGAGCTAGTTAGTAACAAGCCTAAGCTATCAGCCAAACATTCATAGCTAATAATAAGTCTCTGTGTGGTTATTTTGGAGCCGGCTGGGGGGAAAGAGCTGACTGGCAGAACACAAAAAGGTCGCCTTTACAAAGGCCCGTTGAGGTGTTGGGACTGGGGCAGAGTAGCTCTGCAAAAGCCATCAGGTACACACTCAGAGCCCAGTATGGCTGTAAGCACTTTGCTCTTCATCCTGTCAACAGCTTGGTTCCAGGTAGTGGCTGTTTCTGAGTTGGCCCTGACCAGGCCAGGCTGATTCATAACAATGTGGAAGATTCCAAAGCCTTTGCTATGTTTCTACCCCAAGATGTATTATTATCTTAAAATTACACTGAAGACGAGCTGAAGAGGAGCTGGGTATGTGGTTCAGTTGGTAAAGTGCTGGGCTAGCATATGTCTAATCCCTGGGTTCGAGTCTAAAACTGGGCATGGGACTGCATGCTTGTGGCTCCAGGAATTGGTGAACAGAGGTAGAAAGATCAGGTGTTCAAGGTCATCCTTTGTCACATGTAAACTTCTAGGACAGCCTGGGCTCCAGCAGAAAACAAACGAAAACTGAAGAAGATGAAACACATTAATGAAAAGGCTATTTTCATTACCATCATTTGAGTGAAGAGGCCTCTTGTCTCCCTGGCAGACCATTCGAGAAATGAGTACATATTTTGATTTCTGAATTTGGGTATAAACTAATTCTTGCTTTCTTTAAAAAATTCTTGTGTTTTATTTATGTTTGTATCTATTATAAAATGTTCTTATTAAAAAACCATTGGAAAGTCAAACCCTGGGAAATATTCACTTCTTTCCAAGATGGCGCACTTTGTCCCTTTTGCTAGTGACTGGACCTGTCTTCTCTTGAGGGGTGAGTAAAAACCTGGTATGTGGAGGTGATATGTGTGGTGATGAGTGGTGGTGGTGTGGTGGTGATGGTGATGATCTGGGGGGTAAGGAGGAGCCTGCCCCCACAAGCCTTAGCCTCTGCACTTCCTGCAGTGTCCTACAAGAGGGCGCCCATGACACTGTCAGAATTTCCTGCCGATTAGCTGGCAGCAGACAAGAAGCCATTCAGCCTCTCTCTGATGGAAGGAGAAGTGGCCAGGAAGGTCATTTGCTGTTTCCCACAGACCTGCACAATGGCCTGGGTGGGGCGTAGGTGCCAACAAGCTTACATCTAGTCTGATTGACAAGCAGTGCTTCCTACCCATTTCAACCCTTTTCAACAACTAAGTTCTGTGGCTTGGGCATTTCTCAACTGCAAGAGCAATAGTGACATTAGAAATGGGTGTGAGACCCTCTGCTGGTAGCAAAGACAGCTGGTGAGTGGACACATCAGGAATCTTACAGTGTGACTAAAAAGAAAACCGAGAGCTGAGTAGGAGGACTCAGTAAAGTGCACGGTACACAGGCATGAGGGTGCACGTTAGATCTCTAGAACTCATGTAAGGGAAAAAATAGATGGACATAAGTACACACTTGTAATCCTAACACTGAATTGGTGAACCCAGGCCAATGAGAGAGACTCACAAAAAATGAGGTGGGTGGGTCTGAGGAATGATACTGAAGGTTGACCTCTGAACCCCCCCACACTCACACACTCACACATTCACACACACATTCACACATTCACACACACACACACACAAATACACACACACAGTGACAGAATTTCATTGAGGCTTACCTCAAGCTCAGGGCAATCCTCCTGCTTCAGTGAGTGCTGGGATTATGAGCTTGCTACACACCAAGCTGACCCCTTCTCTTATATCACTGATACCTGCTCTGTGTGGCTTTTTCTAGACTGGTCCCTAGAAGCAGCCTTCAAGTGGGATTTCTCCATGAAAGAACATAGGGAAGAGACTTGGGCAACAAAATTAAAAGATGGATTCTGGAATTTGGCTAGCATCTGTGTGTGTACCTCAAGATTCATATCGGGCATTAGTGAAGCTATGAAACGGAGTCAGGAGTAGTCAAACCTGGCTCCAGAGTCCCTCTTTCCTGCTGGACCCCTCGTGGCAGGCACTGTTCTCTTCCCATTTCTGTTGTGATGTACCCCCGGGGGGGGGGTCTCTTTCTTGGTAGGACAGCTGCATAATTCTACACCTGAACCATGAACCAAATAAATATGCTCACCAAGTACCCACCTCAATCATTTTATTACAGCAACAGGAAACACACCAAGACAGTGCCCATCTGTGATGGCCAAACTTCATTGTTGGGGTGGTTTGAAAGAAAATGGCCCCAAAAAGGAGTGGTGCTATTAGGAGGTGTGGCCTTGTTGAAGGAAGTGTGTCACTGTGGAGGCAGACTTTGAAGTCTCATATATGCTCAAGCCACTTCCAGTTTTTCAGTTCACTTCCTGTTGCTTGTTGAACAAGAAATAGGGTTCACAGCTCCAGCATCATGTCTGCCTGCATGCTGCCTTGTCCCACCATGATGGTAATGGACCGAACCTCTGTGCTGTAAACCACCTCATTAAATGTTTTCCTTTGTAAGAGTTGCTGTGGTCATGGTGTCTCTTCACAGCAATAAAAACCCTAAGACAGTTGTCAACTCCATGGGGGTTTAGAGGGGAACAACCCTCTAGGCATGCCTGTGAGGGATGCTTCTAGATTGAGATGAAAAGACCACTCCAAATGTGAGTGGCATCATGCCCTGGGCTGGGAGTCTGAACTGAATAAAAAGGAGACAAGGAGCTAAGTGCCAAAGTTTGTCTTCCCATGCTTCCTGACTATGGATGCATTGTGACCAACTGCCACACGCTCCCCCATGGTGGACTGTATCCCTCATACCATGAGCCAAAACAGGAGGTGATATGGCACTAAGACACCATCCATGAAGCCGCAGGAGCTGATGTGGCAAGAAAAACAGAGTGGCGTCTGCAGGTGAGTCTGTGGTTCCTAGCTGTGGGAATAGGCAGTTGCTGGGACTGGAGTGACAGCTCAGTGGTTAAGAGTACTGGTGGCTCTTCCAAAGGACCTGGGTTCAATTCCCAGAACCCATATGGCAGCTCACAACTGTCTGTAACTCCAGATCTAGGGAATTTGGCATCCTCATGCAGACAAAACCCCAACGTATATAAAAAAATAAAGAAATCTTAAAAAAAAAAAAAAGGAGTGGGCAGTTTCTCAGAGACCTAGTCCAGTGCCATGGCACAGGATGTGAGGACACATCATCAGTCTAGGTTTGCTCATTGGCTCTGCCACCATTCTCGGGAGGCTTCACTGCATTGTTTTAGACCCAGTGGCAGGACCACACAGCCAGCAGGCCATACACAGAGACTTCTAGAGAAAAGCAGAATGACATAAAGTCTCGTCCTTCCAGTTAACAAAGAGGACCTGGTCACCAGGGGTGAGGGGGCTTCACTACAGTTGAGTCTCATGTTCATACTGACACACATGAACAGGACAGCCACAGGATGAAAGGCACAGCCCACCCCACCATCTCAACAGTGAGCCACGAATAGACCATATACAGAAACAGCTTTTTTTTTTCTTCAATTTAATTGAAGTTACTTAGAAAAATAATCAGGCTTGAATGGCTTTTCCTGGAGGAAGGTTCGGGAACATTTCACGCGTCTGTTGGCAACATGGAATTCAACTTCTTTAACAGTATAGTAAGATACAGGGAGAGAATTCTACAACAGGCCCTCGACTGCATACAAATATGTAAAAAACACACACTCCACAAAGATGTTAAATTCTATGTCCATATGCCTTACTGAGCATGCTCAGAAGAGAATACAGATACTGCCTTTTGTACCTGATGAGAGCAGACCAAAATTTGCCTGCTGCTGTCCAAGGGTCCAGCTGGTTCTAGAAGGCCCTGTTGCCTATTCCGAGGGTCTGTTTAGCTGTGGATGGGAAAAGCTGGGGATGCTGGTGGGCAGAACCTGGGGGAGTGACGAGTCAGTCCTGCTGACGGAGAGGTGGGCCAGGAGCACACAGGCTGGGGTGATTTGTGTATGTGTGTGTGCACATCTACTGTGCATGTGTTCGCGTGCACATGTATGTGTGTGTACATCTATGTGTGCATGTGTGTGTAGGGAGGCGGACTGGGCAGAGGAAGCGAGTAGGGAAGCAAGCATAATCTCTGTGGCTTTGTCAGTTGAAGCAGGACAGTAATGCAATTGTTATCATATGAGCTAAGCATCCTTGGGCTTTGCATAATGTCCGGGAGCTCTCTCAGAGCCTGGGCTACTCTTGTGTGCTCCAGAGGGCTGGCCAGAGTGAGGTTTCTGGTTCCCACAGTTCTCCTTCTGGCTGAACAAGCAGGAGAGAAAAGGCTTACCCTTGGGGGCAGGTGGCCTGTCTGAGACCTGTTCAACGGGCTGCCCTGTCTCTCAGACCAGCTGAGAGGGGCACTGAGGCAGGGGAGGCTGGAGAGGCTGTAGGCAGGGACCCCTGTGGCTGATATTCTAGACATTTCCAAGAAAGAGGCAGCTAAGTAGTCATGTCCTTGTCATTCTACTTGACTGTACCTGGTCCTAAAAACACAGCTGCACCTTTGAACAGTGGCTCAGAGCCGGGATACCGGCAGCTCCTTTTCCTAGCTAAGCATGACAGGCATGCAAGAGAAAGTCATTTCAACATTTTCCCGTGGAAAACGCTCGGATTTTCAAGCACACGTCACCAATGGACATCTTTAGCCAGGGACACAGAATACTTTATACAGTCTACAAAACAGTTGAACCAATACATATTTTAAAAATTGTCAATAGAAAATAAAACGTGAACACAAAACATGAGAAAGAGTCCCTCATTCCAGAAGCATAGTGATGATGCATGGTTCCCTAAAGGACAATCTTTCTCACTTTAGAGAGAGAAATGGAGTAACTACCATCTGTACACAGCACTGTACCACAGATGAAAGACAAACAGAAATGCAAAACATGGAAATCAACATGAATTTCCATTTAAAACCCCGAAGCACATGGTTCCAAACTGTGGGTGGAGGTGAGAAGTCTTTGTCACGAGGCCATCATCCCCAAGGAGTGGCCTTTAAGGCCAGGAAGTGGGGGCTATTTTTGTGTCCTTATGCCACCTCCCCCCCACAACACCCAAGATGTCTCTCCCGTGTTTGGAGGGACAGAATGACTGTCTGGGGCAGCATCCAGATGGAGCCTCCCACTTAGGTAAAGTGTAATTCATTCCATAAAGTTCCCAGACAGACGCTGTGGTGCTGTTTCACTGGTTTGTTTGTGGAGGGTCTAGGAGGCAGTTGCTAATCTTTGCAGACCTCAGACAGGCTAGATCACCCTCACTGAAGGCTACTGTGTGAAATGCCGGCTAAGACACATCTGCTATACAGGACACCCAGGTCATGCAGCCCGGAAATGCTGCATTCTCCCAGATTCACAAGGCAGACAATGTATTGAAGGCTCTGAAAAGTCCTGCAGAGAGGAACCTGACTTAATTTTGTTTCCTAAGATATGTGACCACAAACCTCTCCAAACTGATGCCCTACAGAGCCGTATCAGCAACACCACAGACTGCCACATCAGCAGAAGGCCAGTTTCTGAGGACAGGGCCCCCTCCCTATTCCAGGGACAGCCAAAGTCTGTCACTGCTCTTGGTCAAACACATGACATAAAACTATCTATCAAAGGCAAGGGGAGAGAAACTGGGGAAGGTACCTGCGTTTTATAAATAGCGCAGCCAGCCACTCTGGCTCATATTAAATAAAATAATTTCCTCAATGAGACAGAGCAGCAGATGCTGCTCTCAGGCTCGATGTGAGCCTAACAATACCATTTTAATAGTTTCTGTGAATAAATTATTCATTTTTTTGTTTTTCAGAATACTCTCACCCCTTCACTCTGTACTGCATCAAAACAAAACAAACAAACAAAACCAACTAAAATACAGAAAGCAAAATGTACACCCACTCCCTCCCCTATCATTAGAACTATTATATACAGCATCTCCTACCCACCTGCACACTGGCTGTAATGGGAGTGTGGCTCAAATGTCAACTGAGAAGCCTCAGAAATGACTAGAAATGAGGACTAGGTCTGGGTGTTGATCAGCAAGAACAGGAAACACCGGTTTCCAGTGTTCTGGATGAGAGGGAGCATGGGTTAAGATTCTGGGTGGCTGTCCTGGATGCTCTGCCAATGCAGGACATGGGAGGGTGTGCACGTGCCTGTGGGTACCAACAGTCCACCTTTGACCTTCATGCCTGATCTTTGCAAATCTCCAAACATATGCAGTACACTCTTTTACATGGCAGGCAGGAGAAGAGGTGTACTGGCGACCACAGTAGGAGGCACTTGAAAAATGTTCCCCTTCCTTTACCCAAGGCAGACATCACTAATCAATCACCACACTCCTCGATTTGTGTCTGAAGAATACTGAGGCTTACAGGCATCTACTACCAAGATAGTGCAGTAGACATACATGATCAATAAGGTTTCTGCCATTTCTTGTGTTGGGCAATGAACTTAAGTCACTGAGCTAGTTAAGGTGACTGATCCAAATGTGTGGTTTTCAAATTTGAGCTGTAGAAAAATGCAAATTTTCTAGGGTCATGGACTCTCTGGGCCACTTGAGAATAGTCAAAACCCCACATGAAGACCACAAGGATAGGGCTGGTTCATTGTTGAGCTGCAGGTCCTGTGTTCACATAAAGCTTGCTGAGGGCCAAGGCTACTGGGTTCACTCAATGTTCTACCTGCAGTCAAGCCTGGAAAATAGTAGATGATCAATAAATATTTATCAAATATAAAGCAACAGTTATTCTGCCTTCACTAGAACTGGCAGGTGCCAGTTAAAAATTTCCCCCAAAAGCCTGTTCTTATAGACTGTTAATTTTGGTGAACAGAAATTGCTATCATACACTCTCTCCTGGGTTACAAAAATGCATTTCATTACTGCAATGGACTTTGGGGTTGCTAGCAATCAGTGTGAACCATTCCCACCCTCGTTTCTTAGTGCAAGGACAATTTACTGATTTCTAGCAGGGTTTCTTGAATGGCATCCACACATCCCAGCAGCTATCACCATGTGACTCCTTGAGAGGTCAGTGGGAAAACAATCACATCCATAAACAAGCCATAGGCAGCAAAGCACAGGCCAAATTTTCTTCTAGAAAGACGTGAGCACTCTCCTGCCACAAAAAGAAACCTATACAGAGACCACGTTTAAATAACTATAAATAAGAATCCTTAGACTTTATGGGACGCATAGTTTGTGGAATTCACCAGAACACAAGGACACCTTGGTGACGGTGTTACAGTTTCCACTTCTATAAATCAGGGATGATCCACCCTGCTCCCCTGCAAAGACAGCTGTCTTTTCCTATGGATGATTTAAATAATTCTTACTATGCCGCTCGCAGCATCCCCCCCAAAGACATATTAACTTACAAAATAACCCAGTATCCATAGAACTCTTTTGACAAATAAAAATCTTAAATTAAAAAGCAGGATTCTCTCCCTCACCCCAACCACCCCCACACCCCTTTATTCCAACTTCAGGTAGTTTGGCACTGAGTAATTGAACATTAAAAAGTCCAGTTTATAGACTTCGTACAGCTGTGTCTGGTGCTCGGCGCTGATGTTCTGGAAGAACTCTGTGGTCATCTCATCGGTAGTTCGGGTGGACTTTGCATAGGTGGGGAACTTCAGGTAGCCGCTCACTCCCGCCAGCTGCAGCACGTAATTGGAGTCCTCCTCCAGCGTCTCATACTTGCCCACGAGGTCGTAGTGGATGTGGCAAGGGTGGCAGAGGGAGTAGACGGTCTGCCAGTGCTCATTGAAAGGCTCCTCCCGCTGCGTGTGGGGGTCGATGAGGTAGGCCACGAACTCCTCGAACTTGACATCGTCCCCCTTGCGCAGGGCCTCCTGGGTGGCGTTCTTCCGCTGCCGACGGATGATCTTGGTGCCGTAGCGCTTGTGGAAGGAGGTGTTGTACTTCTGTGTGAACTTATTGCGGTAGGCTGACACTAGCCTCTCGAAGGGCTCCCGCACAAACAGGAACTTCATGTAGCTTTTCAAGCGGTGGTTGATCTCTGGGATGCTGTACTGGTTGAGGGTCTTCAGATTGGCCGACACATGGGCCTCATTGGCTGGGATCTCCATGGGATCGCTGTACTTGCCCCGGCCGCTCAGGACCATCATGAGCCTCTTCCAGTTGGTACACGCCACCTTGGGCACATAGCAGTAGATGAGTTCATGGTCCTCATCCACCACCAGGTGCTTCAGGTCATTAGGGGTCAGCACCCTGCGCTTTCGGCTCATGGCACTGTTGGCCCGGCAGGTGTCTGTCACTTGGTCCCGTCTCATCTGGTGCAGGATGGCAGTGTTGGACAGCTCCAGCTGCAGAGGGGACAGAAGAGGAAGGGGAAATCAGTGCTTATCTAGAGCATTCCCGAGTGGTTACAATGGATGCTGATCCATTTGTTCAAACAGTTATCTAGACCCTGTGATGTGCAAAGGTTTCGGAGGCAGGGCGAGATGAGACTTAGCCTAACTGCTTAGTGTGGGAGGCTCCATAGAGGTCAGAGGGGAATTCCTGGGAAGATGTCTGTGTTCTCTGAGAGCAAAAAAAAGCTCCTCCTTAAAGTAAATGTGTTGGATAGATTAGAATGACCTGTGATCAGGTCTGTCGGGATTATCTCCATTGTTGACTGATGTAGGAAAACCCAGACCACAGTGGGCAGCACAATTCCCTAGGCTGGGCTCTGTGATCTGTAAGAGTGAAAGATGCTAGCAAGTGAGCAAGGATGCAACTATGTTCTCTCTGCTCTTGATTGAGTGTGACTGCCTTCAGTTCCCCCCAGTGACAGGCTATGGTCTGGAACTATAAGCCACATAAATCCATTTCTCCCCACCATCCTACTTTGGGTCAGGATACTTTATCATAACAACAGAGATGGAGATAGAATGGCCAATCATTCCCTGCCAGAACTAGTTCTCTCAGTCCACCCAGACAGGAAAATCTATTCTGCCCTGGTCTGTTACCATCTTGGATCCCAACACCCTGAGGCTCAGAGATCAGGTGGAGTGATGACGCCCTATTGGTTAGCTTGGTGCATTCTGCTATTTACCTATCTGGCTTGTGCAACATGGCCCCCTTCTTAAATATAAAAGGAAGTTGTTGTCATCTTGACTTGAGGTTCTGGAGAAACCAGAGCCTGGGGCTATGTAACAGCTGGGGTGTCCTGTCTTCCTCCTCACACCAAGAACAATGTCCCTATTTAGACACTTGTCTTTTGACATCCACAGTCCACTCCCAACCTGCCTTCCCAGCTTCACGCCAACACCTCTCCCATTCTGAACAGAAGACTATTCCAGAGAAACCAGCTGTTCTCCTTTCACCTTTGCCCTAGTATTCTGTGGCTGGGCCCTGTTTGACTCTCCACTGGCTATCTCTGTTGACACAAACTTGACCATTCTTCAAGGCTCAATACACTCTTTGGCCACACCTCAAAGGGATATTCCATTTTCTGAACACCCTGGACTCTGGATGTCCTTTATAGCATAGCTTTGAGTCTATGTCATGCTTTCTCTGTGGCCACAGATCACTGTTGACTGTCCCCATGGCCTCTGGCTCTTTGGATCAGATTATAAGTGGCCTTAAGACCTGAGAATGCATGAGATAGGTGGAATGTCCAGGTCAGTGGAGCCCAGGGTTCAGGTGGGACCTAGGAAGTCAGCCCCGGATCTCCAGCACTGACACATCATAATTTGTATGATTTATTCCAAAATGTGCATAGATCATGTGGGATGGCCCAAAGACAAGAACCCTGGTTTCAGTGAGTCTTGCCTGCCTTGTCTGTAGGGAGAAGACACTTAAAAGAGCAGAGTGTAGTGTCTTGGCCACCTTCAAAGTTGATCACAGTCCCTTTTCAGACGAGGGGCTCAATACTTTGATGTAGTGACCTCACTTGATTGATACATATTTTCTTTCTCTGTTTATTTCTAAGTAGCTCGAGATGATAAAACAGAATGTCATGGTATCCCTGAGGCCATCAGTGAGTACTAGCACCCTGATGTCACATGGTGGGAACTAGGACATCTAGGGTGGGGCTTGCTAGCTAGCCAGAAATATTTAATGGATCACCGCTATGGCTGGAGAGACAGTTCAGCAGTTATGACCACTGTCTGGTCACTCAAATTCGATTCTCAGGGCCAACATGATGACTCACAGCTACTTGTAACTCCAGTTCTAGAGCACCCAGCACCTCTTGTGGGTACCACACATGCACACAGTACACAGACACACTTTGCAGATAAAATACCCATAAACACAGAAAAAAAAAATCAAATCGCCAAGACAAACCAATAAAGTGATAAAATTCTTACACAGAACTCTAATGGGGGATGTCCTTCTGTATATATGTTTATCTTATTGGTTGATGAATAAAACACTGATTGGCCAGTAGCCAGGCAGGAAATATACAGGCGGGGCTACCCAGATGAAGAGAAGGCTGTGGAGAGGATGTAGAGAGAGAGGCCACCAGAAGATACCATGTAGCGAAGGAAGGAGTAACAGGTCCAGGCCCTTCTCCGGTAAGATAAGACCATGTGGAAATACTTAGATTAATAGAAATGGGTTAGTAATTAAGAGATAGCTGGCCAATAAAAAGGCTGAGCCATCCGCCAAATATAAATTAATATAAGTCTTTGTGTGTTTATTTGGGCCTAAATGTGCGTCAGGACGAGGCAGGACAGAAATCCCACCTACAGAACTCTAGGCTCCAGGGATTCCACCTGATCTCTTTGAAACCTCCTTTAGAGTCCTGAGTTTAGGGAAGTCCTGAACAGGCCGGAGGAGAAGATGTGTTCTTTGCTTGAATGCCAAGACAGAGATGGAGGGACCTCAGGGAGTAGCCCCAATGTCCATTCAGAGGACAACAAGGAGTTGCAACTTAAAAACCCATTAGTGTCACTTCCACCCCTACTGGGTGGCATTCTTCTCTCCATCCAGGGCTCAAAGGAGCTGTAGTAAATCATAATTTTTACAAATAACACGTTTTCTGCACATTCCATGCACAATGCAGCTGTCTGAGGGGCTTAGGTATCTGAGGGGACAGCAGAAGACAAGGGTGATGAAGATAGGCAAATGGCAATCTGTTCCTTCCTTATCACCTGAAGGGGACACTTGCTTGCCAACCAAGTTCTGTCAGTTCTACAGAGCAGGGGTGGCATGCAGCTCTGTCAGCACTGGAAGGTGAACCTCTTCTCCCTTCCCCTTCTTCCTTCTCTCCCTTTCAAAAGAGTTTGAGGAGATCATAGCAGAGGATTTTTGTTTCATTATGAGGATCTTGTTTGGTTGTGAGCTTCTGAGCAACAAGGGCATGGGGGGGAAATGAGACAGAATTTCCTCGCTCTTGTTATCAAAGAGAAAAGAATTTCAAATAAACTGGGGGCAGAAAATGTACCAGATCTAAGGGATTCAGAAAGTTCGGTCATGGAGGGAGGTTCCTGGACTCAGTGTGCTCAGGATAGAGTCTTTGAAGAGCTTGGTTTCTTCAGCTGCCTGAATGCCAAGGCTGCATTGCTTACAGAACGCAGTGGCGTGTATGGACCTCTAGTCCTCTCAAGGAAGAGCCCTGAGACTCTTACAAAGAACTGTAGAATCCAGGAAAAGAACATCTGCCCTGTGGAGCAACCCGCACCCCCAGCCCTGTCACTGTCTCCGGGGCTGGCTCCGCTCTGCTTCTGAAATGTGGGCACGTGAGGAGGTCACATTGTTCCAGCTACTCCCTGGCTTCCAGCCAGAGCTGAGGGTCTGCCAGTGTTCTCTGCTAAGATTGTGCAAGATGCTCCAGAGTGAGGCTTAACCCATAGCCGTGCATTCCCTGATGGGAGTGGAGACTGAATTCCAAGATCAAGTTCCCCAGGGTGGTGTTCCCTTGAGGCTTCATTGCTTGGCCCATGATGGCCTCTCTTGCTGGTTTTTCACACTGTCCTTCCCCTAGACAGGCATCCCTGAACCAGCACACCACCCAAAAAGCTGTAGTTTTCCTCAATGGCAATTTAAAAACCCTGTCTCCATATCCAGTCACATCCCAGGGCCCTCCTGGCTGGAGGACCTAACATGAATTGGAGTGGGAGTAATTCAACCAAATGCCTAGTGGGGGACCAGGCTGAGAGCAGCAGATCCATGTTCTGTGGAAACAGTAGTATCCTAACATCTTGGATCAATTCACAACCATCCTTAATGATAGAACACAGAACACAGCTCACTATCAGATGCGGAGAGACTACCCTCGCCTTGCCACCAACTCCTTTCATCTCCCTGTGGTGTCCTCAAAGTACAGGCCCGGGAAGGGCAGAGCCTAGGATGTCCTGAACACAGCTCCTGGCTTTGGGCTGCATCCGGCATACTTGATTTGATGTCTATTTTTAATCTGGACATTTTCAAAGGCAACTGTAATTAGTGTGAGGACCAAGTTTAGGGGGGTGTTTTAAGAATTCTTTAAAGTTTTACTGTGTTTTATCTTAAAAGGAAGAGCCAGCTTGCCCTGTGAGGTCTGCAGTCTCCTTGGATGCAAGACCCACTTGGAAGCAAGCAGCTCCCCCTCACTATCTGTGGTTGGGGAGACCCAGGGAAATGGAAAGCCAGATAAAGAGGTAAATCTGGAAGCTTCCGATGATTCCACACCTGTTGCAACAGTTGGCTTGGGCCCAGGCTCAGTTTCCCAATTGAAAAATCTGAACCCAAGGCTATGGGGTGGCTCAGTAGGTGACATGCTTCCTCTGAGTATGAGGACCTGAGTTCATTCCCTGAAACCCACTTAGAACTAGCTGGGTGTGGAGGTGCATGCTTGTAACCCCAGGGCTGCGGGGCTGAGATGGTCCTTCCCTGTATTTCTGTGGTCTGGCTGTCATCCGCTGTCCTGAGTTGCAGGGATGGAAACAGCACTTGATGGGTGGATTTGTTGAAGAAACCACAGCCCCAGCGAACACAAGCATCATGCCTACTAGCTGCACTGACTACATTAGAGTCATCACTGAGCATCACACTCTCTGGAGACTGCATTGTTGGTATCCCTGACTTACAGATAAAGAAGTCGCTTACTCAGGTCATGGGACCAGGAACTGGGGCTGGAGTTGGAGCGCTGGAAGACAGCTCTGAGACACTGACTCAATTGGCTCCTGGTCTGAAGACACACCTGGGAGTTACTATCCCCAGGGCAGTCACTTGGGGACTCCACCATGGCAGTTCATAGGTATCATGGGCGGGAGGGGTGGTGGTGGTGGTGGTGGTGGTGGTGGTGGTGGTGGTGGTGGTGGTGGTGGCTGCTAATATCCCTGTTAGACTGGGTTCTACGCCTATCCCAGAGGTCTGTTGCCAGCAACCCTATTGT